TTAATGCACACTTTTTTTACCTACTACATATGAAGTGTACACATAAGTGCTAAGAACCCATTTAATTTCAAATCAGAATATGGTGTGATTCAAAAGTTATGACATAATTAATTGTGCCCCTCTTAAAAATTACATAAAAAATTCACTTGTTTTCGTTATTTTTTTTAACTGAAACACCTATAATTCAAAAGTTATGCAGCAAATTGATCCAAATTTTTTTTGAGGCTTCAAGTATACGTCAATGAATTATATCCAAAGGCAACGAGCTTGATTTAGTTTATAGCAGTGAAAATAAAGCTAAATAACACAAAGGTTAACTGTTTTTTTAGATTTGCCCATATGTTCAAAATAAGGACCCTTAACCTTTAACTATAGACAAGGGAAATTTCCAATATGCGCAACAATGATCAATTGGAACTTAGTTGTACAAACAAGACATTTCAATAAATTATAGTTTGGAAATAAGATTTCTTTCTTTCGAAAATAATTTTCCCTATTATGGTTGTCGACGTCGACGACGAAAACTCGCAAGTCCAACGCCAGCTACGTGAATACAGTGGCCCCTATTATGAGTTGCATTCGATCTTCGACTGTGGTCGAAAGTGCTTATCGAACGAATTTTCATTTGGTATTATGACGATCATTCGATGAAGAATAGCGCTACTGTGAATTTTGCTCGTTTAACAACAGTATATTTTTCACCGCTGAGAAGCTTTGTTTACAAATCGAGCATGATGAAACTGTACGATGGTCATTGCTATCTGGTTCACTTTATAATTTTTCATTATGCGACTGTCTAAAGAGGTGTTTGTGAGCCAAATCTATTTAAAATATTTTAAAACTATCCACAGCTCTACGATTTGGTTTTCAGATATCTTGCCCACTGAGTATTGTTAGCTTTCCGGAGGTCCCAGGTTGGAATTCCGTCAGAAGCAACATATTAAAATTATTTATTAAAATTGAAAGGAGTAGTCCACTTGCAAAGAGCGCTAAGTAAAATTTTTTCGATTTTTAATTTTTGGTGCATTACGTACCAGTATTTAAAGTAGCTTCATGTCCACTAACAACACAGTATAAATTCATTTTATATTTTGAAAAAAATAGCATCAAATGTTAACTCTTCTTCCAAGAGTCGCTATCATACTTATTTATAAACTTTCAAAAGTATCCATCTTCTGATGAACTTAGAAAACTGCTTTAGGTCGTATAGAATGTTAATGTTATCTTATGTCATGTTATGTTATGTTATAATTTTATAAGGCTCTTGTGTATCCAAATTTCCAGGTAATAATAAAAAAGATTCAATCTAAATGTTACTTGTTGTTGTAGTCGTTTTTTCAAATTTGTGGCTTTCTATTGGCTGCATTTCTTTATTCATTCTGAACGTTTGGAATAAACTTTTTTGTTTACTTATTCTTTAGAACGTTCCTGATGATATGTTAACGTATATTTCAAACACATTCTTTTTATTCCGGCTGTGAAATGGGATTATCCGGAATGTATAAAGAAACGCAGCCATTATAAAATCACATAACGCTGTTTGCAAGTGGACTACTCAAATAATTGCTGAATCTTAAAAAAGTTTTTTGTTTGGTTTCCAGTAACTATGAAAAAGTTTCTGTGAAGTTCATAATGAAATCGTTTTCAACGAAAAATTAACTCAGACAAATTTCAGGAAAACAGCCGAAAGCGCATCCGTTTTACAACTATTTTCTATAGTTTCCTGCACATACGTTTCGAATGAACACTTTAGTGGGAGAATTGATCTGAAAANACTCAGACAAATTTCAGGAAAACAGCCGAAAGCGCATCCGTTTTACAACTATTTTCTATAGTTTCCTGCACATACGTTTCGAATGAACACTTTAGTGGGAGAATTGATCTGAAAAACGTCCGAAAACTGAATCGGAAAACGGATGAAACATCAGGTTTTTATAAGAAATTGTTTCTATTTTCGGATATGTTTCCGGATATGGCTGGGTTCATATTCATATTTACTATGGGAGTATTTGTAAATTCAAAACTTTAAAACCTTTTTCTAGTTTCTCTTTTTTGAGTTATGACTAACGTGACTAACCGTACTTCTTTCGGAAGTACAGTACTTCTTTTTTCGCTCTTGTACTTCGTACTTCGAAGTACAGTCAAATGTACTTCTTTGCGATATATTGTACTTCAGGAGCGAGATTCTGTAACCAGTTAGCGACAATTTTCGGATCGCCATCGCAATTTTTGACGCATGATATAAATGTTTTTGCGTCAAAAAGTGCGATAGCGATTCGAAAATTGTCGGTAACTGTTTACAGAATCTCCCCCCAGGCCCTGTACTCCTCCGATCTTCTGGCCGATCGTCACATAGCCGGGGCGATAAATTCGTACAAACTATTAATGCCGCCGGGGACCGGTGGCATCATACCTGCCCAGCTGCAAAGTGGATTATATTTAAGCGAACTGCGTGAGGACCGGGTACACCCAAAGGCTTGGAGGGTAGTCAATGTTGCTTTCATTCCGAAGGCCTGAAAAGGCTCTCATGTTACCCCTAGGGATTTAGGCCTATCAGTTTCTTTGTTTTTGCTAAAAACGCTACAGAGACTGATAGACCTGTACATAAGGAACGCGATTCCTCGTGACTGTCTTTCAAGAGCTCAATATGGTTATTGCAAAAAAAGGTCGGTGAATACCGCCCTGCACAGCTTGGTAAAGTCAGAGGGAGCTTTCGCGCATGAAGATTATGCAGTAGGGGCCGTCTTCGACATCGAGGGGGTCTTCAACAATGTCGCTCCAGAGGCATTAGTCACACAGTGCAGAGTCAATAGGAGCACTCCACAAGGTGTTCTGCTCTGGATTGCGGTTGTAAACGACCTTCTAGAGAAACTGGAAAATGTGGGCTGTCGGGTGATCGCCTATGTAGATGATGTGGAACTTTTGGTTAAGGGACGATTTCTATACTCCCTTTTCGATCTGGCTCCAGGTTAATTGCACCAGGTAACTAGGTGGACAATCAACGACGGCTGTCGTGGAAGCCTAACATTGAGGAAAGGGTAGGAAAAGTGTCGATTGCCTTGTACTGCTGTAGGGGAGCTATCGGTAGGATTAAAATTAATTCATTAGCTCTAGGAAACCAGATTCAAGCCTATATTGTTTCAAGGAACCCTTGTCTGGTGGAGCTCACTAGTGGTGGCTAAACATGTAAACAGGAATTAGCGAAGCATTAAGAGCCACACCTACACCGGCACTTAACATACATATGTTGAACACGACACCTGCGGATGTTGTAGACAGAATTGTCGCAGCACAAACTGCTATTAGGCTAAGGGAAACCGGGTCGTTTTGTGATATAAAAAAGGAAAAGAAGTCGCTTCTCTGCTGCAGCAAATGTTTTTGTTGACCACTTTAAAACACGTTATCTCTCAAGGGCTAGTGATGGGGGTTCTGACAGGCCATTGTGCTATTGGTATTCATGCGGTGAGACTAGGAATTTCAACTGATCCTTTTGTATCAGCTATCAAGAGGAAGATGAAGTGGAATCATCTCAACACTTTCTTTCAGGCTGTCCAACATTCGCGCGCCTAAGATGGAAGCATTTTGGCTCGCACTTCTGTACAAACACTGAACTCTCAGGGATCGAAATTAGCTGCTTTCAAAATTTCGTAGTCGGCTCGCGGTGTTAACTTAACCCAACCTAAGCTGTACTTCTTTGAGCTATGAAATAGTTGGTCACATTAGTTATGACAATATGTACATAGGGATCGTTTTTTACTCTTGCTTTTTATCTACATATGTATATGCAAAAATTTTACTGTATGGCACTTCACTACCCAACAAGCATTTCTGTAAGTGTTTTTAAAAGTAACTTAAAGTAAGTTTGCTATACTAAGTGTTAAATAAGCGTTTTTAGTATTAAGTTTATTTTAAGTTTTTTTCAAATGAACCTTTTATAACTGTTTAAAGCGAATATTTATAAATCATTTAAATTGAAATAAATGTCTAAATGTCTAGATAAAAGTAAAGCGCGAATGCGTACGACGAAATCAAGAAAAAATACTTTATTTTTAAAATCTAGTATTTTAAATTTATACTCATACGCTTATAAACAAGGTGCCGTTGCGTTTTTTAAGCATTTTAAAACCCAAGAATAATCGTGCTGTAAGCTTTATGTTTACTTTAGTAAACTTTTAAAAAACCTACTTTAAGTTTATTTTGCTCGTTGGGTATGACCATATTGTTGGTATATATGTACATACATGTGTATGTATGTATAGCTGCTGATTATTGTTTTTGGGGTAAAACCGAAAAAGTCTAGCACACCGCAGACAATAGCTACAGCGGGAGCTGCGACATAATGACGAGCTATGGATATGCACATATCGTCGTTTAAAGTAAAAAACCGTGTATCGTCATTCTGCAAAACTGTGTGACATTTGCGGCCAAAAATTGGATTGCTCACACAAGCTCTTGACTCAAACCATACGCGGTTTTGCATTTTGTTGATACGCGGTTTTGTACTTTAAACGACGATATGAATATACATACATACGTATATTAGTGTGTAGGTACATATGTATGCTCGATGTGTTTACATATTGGCAGACAAAATGATGAGATTTTCTAAAAGACGTCTATGATTAAAATATTTATAGAATTTAAATGTCGTCTCCTTATGTATAGAATATTTCACATTTTCAACAATTATAAATCAAGGTTTTTAAAAGAGGATATTTTCATTCTAGATTTATCACATGTATACATACTATACTATTGACGTCAGCAAATTTCTGTGCCAAAAATGTAAATATTGCTAAAAATGAGACTACAAATAAATAATTTTAGCTTCTTTACGATTGCTGACCGACAATGCTTATAAAGGGAACAATTATGGAAAAGATTATGCTTGATATTTTGTAGTACGTTCCATGTCACTTTAGACACGAATTTTTGCTTGTGTATTTATTTTGCATATAATTCGCTATAATACCAAGTATCTTATATATGTGGAGACTTACCATCGTAATTTCTAATCTCTAAATTGTTTGACAATTTATTGTTTGGTCTGAAACCATACTTTCGATATGTTTCCATAATTTCAGCAGCGCTAAATGGCAACGTTAAAGCGCTAACACATGCCTCATCGCCAGATATACATGCAAGATGTAATGCTGTATTTCCATGACAGTCACGTAAATTTGGCTGGATATTAGAGGGAGAAACAGATTTTTTTTTATATGAAACTTACGTTGTACCGATATATAATTTACATATAAGTTTTATTCAAATAGTAGTATTATTACAGTGATAATTATTACTAATCATTAACAGATGAGATTAAGTTATGATTATTATATACCTCAGCACCGGCGAGTAACAGCATGCGTAAAATTCCTATTTGATTTGTAAGCACTGCTAGATGTAACGGAGTTTGGCCATAATCATTTTTTATGTTTAATAGGCAGGGGTGTACAGCGAGACGGATTAGAGCGGAAACTATATTTGCTTGACCCGATAAACATGCCAAGTGAAGATAGCTGCAGAATGTAAAACAAAAAATACGATTTCAATTTAGAGCTACCAACGGTTGAATATTATTAAATATATTGGTATTTATGCAATTCTTTCGGAGTTGAGTCGGATGCTAATTTTTTAATGTCTTATTAGTTCACCAAATTCGTATATATGCGGAATTTTAAAATGTGCTTAATAAGTAGTAAATCATTGATTATTTCACGGCCACTGAATTCTACTTACGTATCTCCCTCGTCATTTTGTTGATAGTATTGTTCCCATGCTGGTAATTGATTAGATTTTGCTGTTTTCGTTGTTGCTGTAGCTACTATGGGTTCAACCGTTGCCACTCTGCCCGATGCATTCAAGTTATTTATTGGTTCATTATGTAAAATAAGATTACAAAATCTTTCAGAAATGTAAGCATCCACATCGTGTTTAAGTTTCATTTCTGTATCTGGTAATGTTGTGTTTTTGGTAGCGACGGCTGTGCTATTTTGTTGCTGCCGCGATTGCGTGTTATGTTGTGCAATAGACTGATCTTTGGGCTCTTGGTATTCTTCTTCCTCAATACAACCCGAATCAAAAACATAAAGCTCTTTCTCAACCTCTTCTTGACGATAAGAATTTTGAGGTGACTTCCTAGAGTTGGCTGCTGCTTTGTCGGCACTGTTTGCCTTGCTTAAGTTGTTTGTAGTATTTTCTCTTTGTTTCTCTTCTTCTTCGAGATTAGAACTTAAAGGACCCGACAAAAAACCCGAGTCTATTTCATGAATCTGATCATCTATGTCAATATTTTTTAATATTTCCTTTGTTTGAGAACTTTCCTTGCTCTCACTGCTTGCTGCAACAGCAGATGCACTACTACAATCATAACCGACTACATTATCCGTTTTCTCATTTTTGTTTGTTGTATTTTTCGACGCAGCTGGGTTTTGACTCGACATATTGCTGCTTTATATTGGTTTTTTCCGTGATATGGAATTTCAGCGTAACTGGAGATTTCTAATACTTGGGTTTTTTGCGTTTATAAACGTTCTACTTCACTTACAGATGTAACGTTGAATGCTTCACGTATGTAATTTCAGATTTCACTAAGTTCATTAGTCTCTGAAAAATGGTGTAAATAAGCATTAAAGATAGAATCTGGATTTTAAAGACATAAATTTTGATTGAACTTAATTCATAGTATATATTTGATACAGTTAAATCTTATATGTACATATGGATGCGCTAATTTTTGCACAAAGTTGTTAGGGTTTTATTCAACTGAGCAATTCATTTAAATTTTAATTTTCATACGTTTTTTGCGATGGAATAGAAAATGCTTATCAAAACGGGCATATACATATATGTAAGTACATATGTATATAATACATAAATGTATATCGCTAGCTTAGAGTGAAAAGTTGCCAAGTCCCCTTTCACAAATTTTACAGGAGAAGTATACATTTTCTTAAAGTATTTTGCAAAACTTTGAATACAACATTTTGCGTCCTTAAAGAAGAGCGGAACTCCATACGAATCATAAGGATTGAAATATTTGGTATTATTTTGGCCTTATCGCATTTACTGTGCTTTTTTTTGTTTAGAAAATTAGTCTTATATAGCCCCTATATGTTCAATCGCGAAGCGCCGAGGGAACTGCTAATGCAAATAAATTTATTTGAAGCCTTTTTTGGAGTGGTGCTTTTTCCTCTATGGACAAAAGAAACTTTGTTAGGACCTTTCACAAATTACAAACTTCAATTTGTTTGAGGCAATATTAGTGATTCAACTAAATTTTCTGTATCACAATATGTTTGTATTTTTATAATAGATTCAAGAGACCCATAATCAAAAACCTAATACGTCGCACCATAATCGCACTATACATATGTACATACATTTGAACTATTTTCTTTATTTCTCACGTCGCAAAAAGTCCGTATGCCAGCACTTTGCTAGCATGTCAAGCACATTTAAAATTCATGAAACGAGTTTTATTGTAATTCCATAACTTTTTTGTATATTTAATCCGCTGCTACTTCGGGTTCAATAATACATATGTATATATGTAAACATATGTTTGCAATGGATGTAATAAATACCTCTGAATCAAAATATCACGATATTGGAACGCACTTCTATTTATATTTTTAAATTTCACTGTTTTTTATTATAGATAATTATAACACATATGTTTCGCGTTTCCGACTTCTTTCCCATTGTGGAAGAATACAAGTGAGATATCTTAGGGTTGACAGCTAGTTGACAGGGTGTTCAATATGGCGATGACAGTGTGAACAATATGGCAGCCAATATGGCAAGCAAAACCGAACGGCCCGAAGCTGCAAAACTACGACCCGAATGAAATAATTCGGGAAAAAATAACGGGAAAAACCAGGGTTCCGAGGTGCTGTTTCGTGACCAGAGTTTTGTGCAGCTCCGAAAAANTTTCCGCGCTAATTTTCTTATGAATGTACTTTAATTTTACGAACTCAACACTTTTATTTAATCAAGCTCGGGTATTCCGACCATGTCTGAACTTTGTATTTTCCACTTGTTTGCAAATTTCCCGACCAAAACCCGTCTCTATTTATTCGCTGTCTCTTTAAAACTGAGACAACAACACTACCTGTTGCGCGAACAAACGTCAAACGAAAATCAAGAAGAAGACCACGATGTTGCCACAATGAGGAAAAATTGTTGTCTGTTTGGCAGGTAACAGATTCTTACACCACGGTTGTAATAACGTTCAACTATCACAGACGACCCATCACTTTAATTGCATTGGCGCATATTCATAGTCATATTTAGTACTCAACTAAGTCGAAACTATTCTAAGTCACAACTAAAGCTATTCATAGTCGCCTTAGTTTCGACTTTTCTGGCTAAGTACCAACTTAAAATTTAGTTTCGGCTGCAGCTGCAACTAAGTCGTAACTAGGAAGAAGTATTTTATCAAATTAAGGGAAAACAGACGAAATATGTAANATTGGAATAATTTAGATAAATTCTCAAATAATAAGTCAGTTTCACGCTAGTTCTTTTAAAGTAAATTTGTGCATAACATTTAGATATCTACTATTTGTATGTTTCACAGCACGCTTTCGATAAATATCGACTTCACATCATTGCGGTTGTTCTGGCTATTTCACACAATTAACACGAAAATGATACCTCATTCTTTTGCATAATCATGCAATGAAAATAAAAAAAATTTCATAAACGGATGATCAAACTTGACATAAGAATAATAAGAATGTAGTTTTTCCAAAATATCGTAAAGAAAAATCGATACATTTTCAC